GAAGGGTAATGAGGAGCAAAGTCATGTCTGACATGATGGCAGGCAACAGAGCTTGTGCAGGGGAACTGCCTTTTATAAAACCATCAGAATAAGTGAAACTTAGTCACTACCACAAGAACAGCATGGGAAAGACCTGCCCTCATGATTCAGTAACCTCCCACCAGGTCACTGCCATGACACGTGGAAATTATGGGAGCTACGATTCAAGGTGAGATTTGAGTAGGGACACAGCCAAACCATATCCATAGGTTATCTCTTTACCCTGTTGACTGTTTCCTTTTCTGCACTGAAGCCTTTTCATTTGATACAATCTCATTTGTCTATTTATGCTTTTGTTGCCTTTGCTTTTGAGGTCATAACTGAAAAATGATTGTACAGGCTAATGTCAAAAAGATTTCCTCCTAGGTTTTCTTCTAGTAGTTTTACAATTTAGGTCTTTTGAAAATGTAAATAATATTATATTGTTGCCCTGCTCTGAACTCTCCATCACATTGTGTATCCAATTACAATAAAATCCACTGTCCTTACCATGGCCTATGTGGTCCTGTCTGGACTGACTCCTGCTTCCTTCTCTGATGGCATCCACTACCTTTTCTTCCCTTCATTCCTTTCACTCCAACCACAGATGGCTCCTCTTTATTCAAACAGCTTAAATCCACCCACATATCAGCACCTGTGCACTTTGTATTTCCTCTTTGAATTCTCTTTCCCAGATATCCATATGTTCACTTCTTCACTTTATTTAGTTCTCTTTCCAAATGGCATGTGTCCAGAGAGGAATTCTTTGAACACCATATGAAAATTGGCACTACTGTCATCACTTGCTTTTTCTTTACTGTTTTATTATTATTTAAAGTTAATTAAGTATATTAAGTATATATTTTAAGTATATTATATTAAGTATATTATTTAAAATTAATAATTATCTCTGATACTTTATTCATATTTAACCTATTTATCTTTTTTATCTGCTAGAAGGTAAATTTCATGATAACATGATCTGTCTAATATACAACTATTTATCACAATACAGAATAATGCCAGGTACACAGATAATCCTCTGAAAAATTTTTAGTAAATAAGATAATTTTTTCATTCAAAACCCCATATTTTTTAAATAATAAAGTCAGAGCACTAGACTAATGAGAAGTCTAGGATTCTAGAAATTTGTTTCATTTTAAATAGGAAAAATATACATCACTCTAAGAGAATGGGAAAATATTAGAGAGAAATACTTTTAGTATGATCTTTCTTTTTGGATCTGAATTCCAACTTTCTAGGGAATAAAGCAACTAATCTCACTAACTCTTCTACTCTAAATAAAACCTGTACATTTTTCATCCTGAGATGAAATACCCACAATGCCCTTGTCTGATATTTCCTATCCAAGGAACCATTGCCCAGATATTTAAGAGGGAGATGAATCTTCAGCTGTTTAACACTTAACCAAGAATAGATTGTTTTGTTTTCTGTCTGTCTCTCTGTCCTGTCTCTGTTGATCCTGAATGTGTGTGATGGGTGGAAAGGGAGTGGTGCTCTGCTAACCAGGAATCTAGGAGAGGTCCCAGTTTCATCACCTGGCAAATGGAAATGTGTGCAAACTCATTATATCAAGTGGGGTTCATGCTGGGCAGTAAGCACCCCAAGGAAAGAGAGGGATCTAGGGAATAATGGCTGACCCAGAAGCAAGCGTTATAATAAATTCTAAAAAAATTTGTATAAAACTTGTTTATCAAATAACAAAAGCAAAGGACAATGGTAAATACGCTTATTTCATTACCTTGCTTTCCAGAGTGCTTCATTTCTTAAGGAAATGACTTTGATGTATTTTTTTAACTACTTGGAAGAAAGCCATTTTAAACTGAGTTTAGAAGCTAAATCAATACAACAACCTCCAGAACTGAGATGAAGAGAGCATTCTACTTCATGAATTAAGTGTAATTAAAAGTCTTAACTGACTCATGGGGCTGACCACATACTTCTTATGTGTCCTAGGTTTAATGAGTCACAGTCCCTGAACAACATTTTCTTCCTCATACATCACTGAATGGGTAAGTATTTAATGAAGGATAAAAATTATTTGAGTTTAATTTTTCAGAAGCTGCTATACACTTTGGAGATGTATGTATAGTAGTTTTATTCTTATTTTATAGGGGCCATCATATTATAGGTGAATGAATTTTGGTTTTCTAAAAATGCCTTTTAGACATATATTACTTACAAAATAGGTTCTACTTATCAGAAACCAAACCACGACTACAAGAAAATGTTATTCATAGGAAGAAGATATGATTCTTCTCTTCAAATTCCTCTATGGGTGACTGTCCCATTAAAATAAAGTATTAGTTTTCAATTATGGTGTGAAATTAGACTCCTTCTAGGCAAACTTCTGTATGTTGTGCTTGAGATGATTACAATAAAAAATAGGAAAATTATGTTTCTGAAGTTTCTAGACAAGAGTAGGTCTGGACAGCCACAATTTCTGCTTATCATCTCTTTCTACCTTACAGATTTCCCAAGAAAAGGCTTAGACACTATGAATCATCTGTAGCTGTTTCCAATTAAGGACTCTGAATACACCAAAAATGTATCAATTACTTATAATTAGTGGTATCTGATAAAGCTATTATGGCAGATTTCTAACTTTTACAGTCAAGTGTTTTTGCTATATATACAAATTACTTATACCATGGAGGCCAGAATGTGAGATGTGCCTGCTGTGAGAAAACTGGAAACTGGAAAGCTGTCAGAAATCATGGGAGTTCTAGCTTCTACTTCCCTCTCTGCCTCACATGAACAATTTAGTTTTGCTCACAGGGTATTTCCATCTCCCAGCATACTTTCCATTCTTTTCTATAAATCCTGTTTACTCATAATAACTGCTTCTGGATGCCATAGGTATGCACGTGAATCACCATGACTACCTCAGACTCCTTCTACTGAAATTTTGCAGCTTCAATTCTCATAGGTAACTCCTTCTGTTTGTTGGGTTTTCTGGTTCAGATTACTCAGAATGAAAATTTGATTGGCTAAGCTCATCATTTTCTTTCCTTTTGTTTTTCAATAAAGCTTTATAGGGATAAGATTTACACACCATTAAAAGCACTCATTTAAAGTGTACGGGTAATAATTTTTAGTAAATTTGTAGAGTTGTGCAATCATTGCCATAATCCAGTTTTAGAACAGCTCCATCAACATGAAAAACTCCTTTGAGCTTATGTAGAGTCAGTCCCTACTCCCATCTCCAGCTGCAGGCAACCACTTACCTGCTCTCTGTCTCTATAAAATGTCTTTTCTGCATAATAAAATGTCTTTTCTGCATATTTCATATAAATAGGATCATACCACATGTCATGTTTTGTGTATGACTTCTTTCATTGAGTATAATGTTTGTGAGGTTCATATTTAATTACTATAGCTTTAGAATAAGTTTGGAAATTGGGTTGTGTTCTCCAACTTTGTCCTTTTTCAGAAGTGTTTTGACTATTCCAGGTCCTTTTTATTTGTGTACAAATCTAGGGTCATCTAATCAATTTCTTAAAAAAAAAAACTGGGATTCTGATAGGGATGGCATTAACTATATTGATCAACTTAGAGAGAATTATCATTTAAAATATTGAGATTTCTGATCTATAAACATGTAATAATGTCTCTTCAGATATTTAATTTCTCACCAAAATATTTTGTAGTTTAGTGTATAAATCTTGTACTTCTATTGTTAAATTTATTTCTATATATTTTATATTTTTTGATGCTATTAAAAATGAAATTATTTTCTTAATTTTATTTTGGATTGCCACTGTTAACATACAAAAATATAATTTATTTTTATACATTTTATGTCCTGTGCTACAAACTGCTCTGTAGTGGTTTTGGTAGTTTTATTGTGAATTCTCTGAATTTTCTATAAGATGATGATGTAGTCTGCTAATAAAAATGCCTTATTTCTTCCTTTTCAATCTAAATGGGTCTATGTATTATGCATTGTTGAACTGTACCATCTAGAACCTCTGGCTGTAATGTTGAATAAAAGTGATGAGAACAGACACTTTTGCTATGTTCCAGATCTTAAGTGGAAAACATTAAGTATTAGGTATGACATTAGCTGTAGGCTTTTTGTAGATGCCCTTCATCAAGTTGAGGAAATACAATTATATTTCTAGTTAATTGAGAGTTTTTAATATGAGCGTTAGATTTTGTCGAATGCTCTTTCTGCATACACTGACTTTACTAATATGTTGTATTACTCTCTTTAGTTTTCATACGTTAAACTAATCTTGCATTTCTTGGACAAATCTGACTTGTTCATATTTTACTTTCCTTTTTACTTGTTACTGATTTTTTTGCAATATTTTATCAAGGATATTTGCATATATGTCTAAGAGCCATATTGGTCTGTAGTTTTCTTTACTTGCTTTTTCTTTTCATTCTTTTCTTGCTTTGATATCAGGGTAACATTAGTTTCAGATAATTATTTGTGCAATGTTTTCCTCTCCTCTAGTTTCCAAAAGAGTTGAGAAAGAGTTGGTGTGATTTATTTCTGAAATATTTTATAGCATTGACAATTCAGCCATCTTGGCTTGAGGTTTTCTTCATAAGAACATTTTAAATTCTTATTTCAATTTCTTTAATCATTATAGGTCTTTTCAGATTTCCACATTTTCTTGAGTCAGTTTTAGCAATTTATTTCTTTCTAACAATTTTCCCGTTTCATCTGAGTTGTCTAATTTGTTAGCTGAGCTATCCTTTTAGTGCAGGTAATATCACAGATTACTGCCCAGCTTGCATTAATCTTCCTTGCCACCCATTCATTTGTGGCTGCAGTGGGATAGGGTATCACTGAGAAAGACGAGGTTGCCAAATAATTTGCTACTGGGTAGAGACTAAGAAACAATTTAGGTAGAGCAAAATTCTTTGGCAGTTGTATGCTGGAAAATATTCTGAAGCTAGTTTTATCCAACACACTAGTTTAACACTTCAGCACAAATCCTCATACTTACTCTTGTGTTGGGAACTTTGTGATGTTGAAGCAGCATTTGGAAGTGCATGATTTGTTACTGCTACATTTGAAATAATGGACACATTCTCCCTGCCATCAGTGGTTGTGATTCTTAATTCTGTAAAAAGAATGAAAAGTTATCAGGGGTATAACAAATCACCAGATCATCTTATTAATATTCATATTAATATCCAACAAAAACTTGAAGATTAATATCTAGAAGTCTTCTGACCCAGCCCTAGAAATCCAGCATTTTATCATTCACCTTTTGGTGATATAGTTAATTACTTTAAAGAATGTGGATAGATATTAAGTTTCCTGTGTACATGCTGTAGATTATGTCACTTGATTATCATTATAATCTTATGAATTAAATAATGATGAGAATTACTATATATATAAGACTCAGAGAAATTAAGTAATTTCCCCACAATCATGTAACTTGTAATAGGAGAGAACCATGACCTGAATTCAAGGCTTTCTGATGCAAAAGTTAATCACTCAGCTGCCCTGGGAAAAGAATGGTAGGGATATGGTGGTAATTAAGTATGGCACTATTGTTTTCATGCCACTTGGGAAAATATTTTCAAGCAGGTGGAATAGTCAGGGGATGAGGGATAATAGGACATAGGACATAAATGGAATACACTTTTAATTATACTTAGTTCATTTTCTTGAAAAAAAGAAAAACTTACAACAAAAAGGTAAGCTGAGCTTTCAAAGATACATTGGAATAAAATGACTTGAAACAGCCTGTATTTCCCTAAGTATTATGAATATAATAATTGATACTCTTCAGTTTTTTCAGTCTAGTATGGAAACACTGGGCTTCTGAAGGAAATGAAGACATGCCATTTACTGTATGCTTGGTGTTAGCTAGATGTGATGCTAGCTGGAGATGATGGGAAAGCACTTTAGTAGGTCTCTAACACTGAGTAGAATGGAGCAAGAATTGCTGGTGCTTTCTAGAAGTGCAGTCAGCTTCTATTATATGTCAATGAGCATCAACTCTGTAATGCGAATTCTTAGTTGAGTTGTGCTGGAGAAAGGGATCATTTGCAAGAAGACCTCATAGACAGTGGATAAATATATTTTCCTTCAGGTAAAAAGCCTTCGGGAATTACTATGCAAGCAATATGAAATAAATTCAAATATAGTCTACAGTGTTAATCCTGCATATGAGAGAGAATAAGTGAAAATGGCCACACATTTCAGAGGCATCATAAAGTGTTAAATTGAGAGGAATATATGTGAAGTAGAGATATGCCTTATTATAGCAAGAAAGCAGAAATTGGTATTCATGTTAGCATGGAAATGGGAAAGGTCACCCAAGGTACAGAAACTCAACGCTTGAGGATGGAGAAACTCCAGAGGGTAAAGATTTTGCTTCCCACTGGAATTCCAACATGTTTGGGAAACATCAGGCATTCATCTCCAGAAATCTTTGGAGAAGAATTCTTCAGCTGAGCGATAATTGGAAAGCATGAAAAAGCTATCCTGAAGTCCTAAAGAGTTCCCTAGTATCAAGCAGACTCAACAGTCTTGGTGGAAGGAAAGAGAAAACATATCTGAGAAAGATGTGGAGGGCTGCCAGATTGGAAATATACAAAGAGAAGAAAAAAACAATGAAATAGCAGGGAATGCAATGACAAAGACTTTGCTTAGAGAATTGCCTATTATAAATGTGCAATATACTTCACAAATGAGCGGAATTACAGCCTATAGTCAACGTAGGACAGGTTGTCAATTATACCACATGAAGTAGGCCATGGAGCAAATCTTGAATGCTTTGAAGGTAAATCAAAATATTTTAAAATATTCATGATAACCCCAAACTGAACAGAATAAAAGATGCTGCCACAGCCACTAATTTTTAAACTTAACCAATATACAGAAATGCTTCAAATCTTAGTCTCAGGAGAGAACAATTTATGCATGGATGACTAACATTTATTAAGAAATAAGAATCATAGTTATATTAACATCTTGTTGAGAAAATTTTTCCAGTCGTATTTAGGTTTAACACAGTTTATTCCAAACTACTGTCAATGAGTAATTGACACTTTCAGAGAAAAAGTAAATCAATCATAAAGCTGGTCTTTAAATCTGAATACTTTTCTACTTTCCTCTACATAACATTAAGTACCTGCTTTTATCTACAGTTATGAATTACACTATAAGCCTAGACAATAATGTATGCATTAGGTTTCACAAACATAATTTTTCTGGAGAAATGTTAATTTATAAGAGAATTGCAACATCAAGATACATTGGCTTTACATTTATGATTTGTGTTTTTGACCAGTGGAATGGAATAAAGAGTCCAGAAATAAACCTAAACATATATGGTCAATTAATTTTCAACAAGGGCACCAAGAAATTACAATAAGAAAAGGGTAGTCTCTTCAGCAAATAGCAGTGGAACTGTATTACCACATGCAAAATAATGAAATTGGACCCTTATTTGACACAACACACAAAAGTCAACTCTAAATGGATAAAAGACCTGAATGTAATACCTGAAATCATAAACCTGCAGAAGAGAATATAGGGGAAAATCTCCTTCACATTGGCCTCAGCAATTATTTTTGGATATCACATCAAAAGCCCAGGCTACAAAAGCAAAAGTAAATAAACGGGACTCATCAAACTAAAAAGCTAGTGCACAGCAAGGGAAACAATCAGCAAAATAAAAAGCAGCTTAAAAGTTGAGAAAAATAATTTGTAAATTATATAACTGATAAAGAGTTAATAGTCAAAGTTTATAAAATTATAAAATAAGTATTTAATTTAGGTCTTTAACTCATCTTGAGTTAATTTTTGTTTATGGTGTAAGAAAGGGGTCCAGGTTTAACCTTCTGCATATGGCTAGCCAATTATTCCAGCGTCATTTATTGAACAGGGAGTCCTTTCCCCATTGCTTGTTTTTGGCAGTTGTGTTGAAGATTATATACCATAGATGTGTGGTCTTATTTCTGGGTTCTCTGTTCTGTTCCATTGGTCTATATGTCTGTTTTTGTACCAATACCATGCTGTTTTGGTTACTGTATCCAAGTAATATAATTTGAAGTCCGGAAACATAATGCCTCTAGCTTTGCTCTTTTTGCTTAGGATTTCCTTGGCTATTTGGGCTCTTTTTTGGTTCCATATGAATTTTAAAATATTTTTTTCCTGTTCTGTGAAGATTGTCAATGGTAGTTTAATAGGCAATACCATTCAGGACATAGGCATGAGCAAAGATGATGAAGACACCAAAAGCAATTGCAGCAAAAGCAAAAATTGACAAATGGGATGAAATTAAACTAAAGTTTCTGCATAGCAAAAGAAACTATCAACAGAATAAGCAGATAACCTACAGAATGGGGGAAAATTTTTGAAAACTATGCATCCAACAAAGTTCTAATATTCAGCATCTATAAGAAACTTAAATTTACAAGAAAAAATAACCTCATAAAAAAGTGGGCAAAGGACATGAACACTTTTCAAAAGAAGACATACATGTAGCCAATAATAATATAAAAAAAGTTCAACATCATTGATCATTAGAGAAATTCAAATCAAACCTACAATGAGATACTCTTTCATACCAGTTAGAATGGCTATAATAAAAATTTAAAAATAACAGGTGTTGACGAGGTTGTGGAGAAAAAGGAAGGCTTATACACTGTTTGTGGGAGTGTAAATTAGTTCAAACATTGTGGAATACAGTATAGTAATTTCTTAAAGACCTAAAAACAGAAATGCCATTCAACCTAGCAATCCCATTACTGGGTATATACCCAAAGGAATATAAATCATTCTATTATGAAGCATGCACATGTTCATCGCAGCACTATTTAGAATAGTAAAGACATGGAATCAAGCTAAATGCCCTATCAATGACAGATTGGATAAACACAATATGGTACATATACACCATGAAATACCATGCAGCTATAAAAAAGAATGACATAATGTCCTCTGCAGGAATATGTATGCAGCTGTTAAATATTATCCTTAACAAACTAACATAGAAAGAGAAAATCAAATATTGCATGTTCTCACTTATAAGTGGGAGTTAAATGATGAGAACACAGGAACACATAGAGAGGTCAAGGAATAAATCATAAGAAATATTAGAAATACTTTGCAATAAATTAACCTGGAAACATAATATACCAAAATGTATAAAATGCAGAGAAAGCAAGGCAAAGAAAGAAGGGGATACGGGAAGTGACTAGAAATTGATATGGAACTTCCTCTTGTGGAGCTTAAAATGTGCCGATATTCATAGTGGTTGTGGCTGTACAATCTTGTTAATATACTAAAAACCTCTCAATTGTATACTTTAAAAGGGTGACTATTATGATATGTGAGTTATATATATTTTAATGGTAGAAAAATGAATCATTACCTTCTGTACTTGTCGTTAATGAAGCAACTGTTAACAGAGACTTTTTAAGTAATTCGCTGTTGGTTGTTCCTAGTTTGATAAAATAGATTACATTATTATTAATCATAAACTCATGTTATCTGTCAATGAACAAAGTAAAAGTAAGTCAAATCTATAGGTGGACTGGCATCCCACCTTTGACTATCTTTAATTTTTCCCATTTTCCAATTAGTTTTGTCTAAAGAATATATATATTAAATGCTTGGGTGGCCTACATGCATAGACACACACATTTTGCATAATAGGCCCCCAAAACAAGTTTTCAATGAAGATTGTTACTTAGGTACCTTTAAACATGCAAACAATTACTGCAGAAGTCTAAATTCTAATGTTTAAAATTATTTTATTTTTCCCTGTAAGAAAAGTGGCATGGTCAATAGGACCTAGGAGTATCATGTCTTTTTTTCTCATTTTTTTATTCTTATTTTTTTTCATTTATTAATTCTGGCATTGAAACTTCTAAATGAACATAAGTCATGAAGGAACTTGAAATCTTCTGTGTTAATTTGCTTTTTTTTATGAAATGTGCTTTGAGCTCCCACTCTATGCCAGGTGCCCTCCTTTATTCTTGAGGGCAGTATCCAAGTCTAGTCACATTTTAAATCTTAGTATCAAGAATTATTCCTGGCATACACTAGGCATTTAGTCTATGTTGTTTCAAATAAGGGAGCACTCATATAGCACATGAAAATCAACCAAGGGACAAATCTGCCTTAAGTAGTCAACATGACTCATCAGCTTGATGCCTACTCTCCCACTCTCTGTAATAGTCTTTCTCCCTCCCTTTCTCCCTCCCTTCCTTCCTTTCTTCCTTCCCCTTTTACTTCTCTCCTTCTTTCTTAACAGTGTCTTGCTCTGTCACCCAGGCTTGAGTGCAGTGGTGTGATCATAACTCACTGCAGTATCAAACTTCTGGCCTCAAGTGATTCCCCCAAGTCAACCACCCAAAGTGCTGAGATTACAGGTGTGAACCACAGCACCTGGCCTCTCTTCTTTGTTCTTTCCTTTTTGTAACATTTTATTTTTGAATCAGGGGGTGCATGTGCAGGTTTGTTGCATGGATATACTGTGTAATTATAACAAAAAGCTATTTCATTTTAAGGATATTATATCATTTTGAATCAATGTTTATAAAAGATTAAATCATCAGAATATCATAATTTTACTCTCTGAAAAATTGTTGCTTAAATTAGCATTCATTCATGCCATTTTCTAAAACAACCTTTGAGAACAGTGATAATTCTCTTTAGGCCACAGATGTTTCAAGAAAATGTCTAACTTGTAAACATTTTATATTTTGTGATGATGAACTAAAAGCAAAACATCAACTTTGCCATTTCAAAATTCTATAAAAAGGAGAAACCAAAAAATCAAGTACAAAGATATTCCAGGTACTTTATTTTCTATTCAAACATAACAAGGAACAGAAAGACAATGAATAAAAGGAGAAAGAGTATAGAGAAAAATGGAGTTCCCAAGCTCATTTTTTTCTAACTATTCACACAACAGAATTTTCAATGATGTTTTTAAAATTTTGTTCTTTATAGTTGTATGTAGCTAGTTTCTACAAAGAGGATGTACAACTGAAACAGCACCATATTTAGCACCCTGTGTAAGATAGGTGGCCAAAATCACCAGGCTCCTTTACTGGCCTCAGCTGAAATCGAATGTCTATTTTAGTAGCAGAAATTGTTAGTATCAATGTTGAGAAACTTTTATTCCTGCATTATAATTCAACTCACTGAAAAATACTGGACTATCAAATGTTTTTAAAATGAAGCTGAATAATAATCAATGTTTTAATTTTAAAAAGTAAAATTTCAAGTTTCTTTTTTATCCTAAGTTCATTTTATGATAGGGATATTCAACATCTGTCAAATGTTGATTTTTAACTCCAGCCATTTGGCCTTTGCACAAAATGTGCAGTGCACTTGATGTACATCTAGGAAGAGGTCAAGTCCCATTTATCTAATTGGGCAAATCTCTGAAAACAAGCCCAGCTTCAGGCAAATCTCTATCAGACACAAGAAGAATTCTCATCTCAGTTGCACATTTTCCACTTTTCTGATGATAGAATTTCTGCCATTGGCAAGATAAATAAATTTTATGTGATTTAGAAAGACATAAGCACTATTAGACCAACTAGCTTTTGACCTTTAAACCAAAAATATCTGATTAGGAAGTCTTAAAATGAAAGTAAAGATGCCTCTTCATGTTGTATTTGTTTGGGAAATACGTTCATCCTGGCTAAGAGGACCATGTTGGCCATGAGTAAGCAGGAATAAGGGATTTCTTCACTACAGATACCTTTTTTCTTTGGTTTTATCGAGTAATTTTAAAAATGATTATTTTGGAGAATGGGACAATGTACAAAACTCCTCCAAACGTCAGCCCGTCACAAGCCTGAAATTAACAACTCAAATATACTGATACACAATGCTTAGGACATAAGAATTCAAGGTAAGGTGGGATATTCTCCATCATCTTTATGACTGTGTACTAAATCTGTTGCCTTTAGGAGGATGGCCATATTAAGTGTACTTAGTGTCATTCATCTAACACTTAATACATGGTGGTGATCAAGTAAGCCAGACAAAAAGCAGTTATTTTCTCTGTCTTCTTTGTCTAATGCTGTTCCCTCATTCTCTTATAAGCAACACAGACTCCCATTTGTCTGACGGCTTTCTCAGCCCTACCCCATACCAGACTTTGTTTCCCACTCTAGATCCAAGCAGCTGGGGACCTGAGAGCCTGCCTTTTCTGCTTTCTCCCTCTTCCACCTCACTCTCTTAGGACTGACTTCCTTTAATTTCCTTCCCACTGCTAGATTTATATTTTGAGATTTTAACCCTTAAAGCTTCTCAAAATAGATCTCAGATGAAACTAAAGTATTATTATTGATTTGGAGGATTTGATGATGGCTTTGCAACTTTGTGATAAATTGTCTATATTTTTTGAGACGCATATTTAGTGTATAGAAGTAAACTGGCATGAAGTCTGGGTTCCCTTCAAAGTACCTTGACAATAAAATTAAAAGAGTGAAACAAACAAGCAAAAATAAGGCAGGAAGGGAAAAGAAAAATGAAGCAAATGTGATAAAATCTAGATAAATAGTGATTTGGAGAGATGGACATATGGAGATTAATTATAGTATTCTCTTCTTTGGAATTTATCTGTCTATTTTTGTAATAATAATCAATAAACAAAAAGTAAAACTTCTCTGGCCCATTACATTTTATATAATTGTATGTGAATAATTTAACACTCAAGTGTATAAACTATTGATGGATACAGACAACAGTGTAATTTATATTAAATGGGTAATATAAACCAGTAAAAGTGTCCCAAAAAAGAGTGTGTGTGTGTGTGTGTGTGTGTGTGTGTGTGTGTGTGTAACCTCAAATATTCTGTGCACTCGCTTCAGAGAAGGGTGCTTCAGTTTTCTGCTATGGGGGTCCCCCAATAGTAAAGTTGCTAGAAATGGTTTGGTGTCATCTTATAAGCAAACAATGCAGAAATAATGGACTATGGTCATAATACTCTTTGTCACCACCCTATTCAAGTCCAGCAAACTAGCTTTCATTGGTCTTCTGCATATGTTTGATCTTGGTCTTAGAATGAAAATTAAGGAGGGAATAAAGAGGTAAAGAAGACAGTAGTAGAAATTTCAGTTATCCATTCATCAAGATATTTGATTTTTCTGGTCCTTCTATGACCTTTGAATTCTAACCAGAGTTTTTGCCCAAAGGCAATCAACAAATCTGTTTTTCTTTTCCACTGATTACAGGACCTGTGTGATATGCCTCATTTTATGTGTGTTGCTAGATTGGCAGATGCAGTATGCATTGCATCGATTACCTCTTGTTTTTTAATGGAAGGATTCTAATGGATTTTAACATTTTTTGTGGATGGTAAGGTAATCTCCTTAAAAACCTAGCTAGAAAACATGATATAGTTGTCAGTCAGTCCAGTAACAATTATTACATTGCTACAAAAACCTACAAATTAAATCTATTATCAACACAATGCAACAGTCTGTCTGTCACAAACCAACAAAACCAGTCTGTTATTAATACAGTTTCAACATGTTGGCTGTGCTGCTTAGGGGAAGAACTGGAATATTTAGAAAGATATTTTATGACTTAGGACATGGCAATTTCTTTCTTCTCTAAAAATAAACTTTGTGTATGTAACACTCACAATAGAATCATTCTCAACGGGAAGTGATCTCAAAGACTATCAACAAAGACATTGGATTTTTGTATGCAACCCCAAATAGCACATAATTTCAAAATTATGAAATAGCACTGATCTTTATAACAATCAGACATAAGATCCCAAATTATTTTCTCATGCTGATTTGTATATATACTAGTAATTTTATTTGTTAAAGTTAAACTACATTTACTAACAGTTAATCCTACCTGTAGGAATTGTTCCAATTGTTGGTGTGATAACAGGATTCTGTAATGATTCTGTGCTTGGTGTTTGTGCAGATGTTTTCATTGTAGTAGTGACAGTTGGTGAAGAAGTATTTGCATTTATAAGACCTGAAAAAAGAAAAATAAAGTAGTTGCATTAACATTTACATACAGTTTGCCAATCAATAGACTAGTATATTTAAACAAGTATACTGTATATATACTGCTGATAACCCAGTCATTAGACCATGAATTTGCAACCAATTTTCAAATTGTAATCAATTTATCCTTAGCCCAGCATTCATTCATTAGCTCTATCTGCTTCTCACCAATGGCATGAATTTTCAAGATGGCTGGTAGCAGCATTTGTGGTTTCAGAGAAATACACTTTCTGAGAAAACTAATAAGGAATAAATGCATAATTTAAAATTTAATAATATTTTAAATCCAACTAAACTAACTTTGCCAGATGAAATTCTTTAATGGACACTCTCTGGTCAATAGATGTTTCGCTAAATATTTTTACATCACATTAAAGTTATTAAGTATTAAAATGTCAATATTAGTATACATTCTTCCTGATAGAAAGCACTCTTTCTACATAAATGTGTACTATATAAAGTATAAAATTCAAAAGATTATAATTAATAAAGATAGGTGTACACACACACACACACATATATATACACACACAAAGATAAGTTCCAAGGAAAGACAATAATCTTTAAAGAAATTCAACAACTGCAACATACTTAAAAGTAATGGGGCCACCATAAATCCACATATTTTAATTGTTTATTTCTCTAAATTTTAACACTATTTGGGCAGGCAAAGGCACAGAAATGAAGGCAAATATTTTGTTCCATATTATATCTTTCTTTTAAATAATAATTCTTAAAACTTCTATTGAACCAAATGAGGAAATCGATCTTCTGTAACAACCTGAGTTGGCAAAATCATCACTACATTATTATTTTTCAAAGTGAAGTATGTAGGACTCAACTCAGTGTTCTATAAAAAGATTTACTCCACATAAAATTATTGTAATTTGTTAGCATTTATAAAATTTTTACTCCTGTATTTTATTGTTTTCATCTCTAAAAATACAGTATTATGTTAAAGATCAAAACACAGCAAACATCTAATAAGATAATTTGAAAAAGATAGTCACATCTATGGAAAGCATTGCTTTTTGTTGTTACTTGGTCTGGATAGAGTATATACAGCATGTTAGTTAAGATGATGGACTTTGAATAATAAAGGTATATTCAAATCCCGGTCAAACTGGGTATGTCATTATAGTAAATATATGTTAATAGCATGACTTCTCAAATTATATTACATTTGAAAGGTTGCTTTTTGAATATGAGAAAAACCAATAATCTGGCATGTCAATGAAACCAATATCTCAGATGTAATGACATAGAGTATATTTGCTGTATAATTTTATAGTCTTGAGATGCTTGGAAGTGTTCGTTCTCAGCACTAACTGTTTATAGATATCACAAAGAAATTGCTTGATATATTCAGCACACAGAGAAATGTGTTCAGCACATACAGAAATGACAAAACTGCATTTTCACCAGCTTTATGGAAGTTAAGTCAAAAGCTTTTTTCACCTCTGGAGGTGTACTTCACACCCTTGGTCCTACCTCCTTACCCCACAATATTCAGCAGGGAGCAGGAACACAGCCTGTAGAAAGAAGCTTATCTTTTCTCTATTAGTCATTTTGTTCAAGATATCTTTGTTTTAGTCTTAACTTCCATGGTATAACCCTAATTTTAAATTTTATATTGAGGTTGAAGAAATTACTCAAAAGGAAATACCACTTAGGTAAATTCACCTATAAATAGTCTGAATAATCCTCATCTATGGACTTACTAAATAGTAACAGTCTTAATTTCTGAGCATTATCAACATCTCTAGAGATGTTTTTCCTTCCTTCCTTCCTTCCTCTCTCCCTCCTTCCCTTTTTTCCTTCCTCCTTCCTTCTCTTCTTTTCCTTCCTTCCCTTTCTCCCTCAATATGTACTGAGCAACTACTTATGTAAAAATCATAATTAGATACAATAAAAGAATCTATGATTTACCAGATGGTATCAAACATTACTTTCAGTCTGGTAGAAAACATAATGCCTATGCACGATAAATAATAAGATATATTCTATATGGGTTATATAAACCAGTGTTTTTCAAACTGCAGATTGTGATACAATCAAAGAATAAATAAATCTCTTTAGTAGATTGCAGTCAGAGCTTTTACCAACTTAGAAAAGAAAAAAAACAACAGTGGTATTGCAAATATAAGTATTCTTTTATGAAGCTTTGGTATAGGGGTGTGTGTGTGTGTGTGTGTGTGTGTGTGTGTGTGTGTGCGCGCGCGTGTGTGTGTGTGTAAGCCTGCATGAAATATGTGCCAATGCAAAATACATTTCTTACTGTGATTTCGGTTGAAAATTTGAAAGCTGCTGGACAAATAATAAGTTGGACAAAACTTTATAAGATAAAATAAGACTATCCTGCTGGCATGAACAAGGAATACTTCATGAGAGAATTCATCTAGGAGCTAGGGCTTGAAGAGTAATAATATATCTGTACAGGGAGAAGAAAGGGCCCGAGCAGAGCTCTGGAATGGAGAAGTGAAAGGTATTTCAGGATACCATAACAGTTTGTGTAGCTGGATTGCAGCGTGCTATGAAAGAACATAATGTGCATGGTCTAGGAAAATACTGGAGGCCAACTGTAGAGGACCCAGACCAAGATTTAAGATTTTATCAAATCACTGAAGAGCCATGGGAAGGGACCAAGCAGACATTCCACCCTGGAAAAGACCATGGGGAAATACATGGGGCAGATAATGACAAGACACCAGTTGGATCGAACTGCAAGCCCTCATTTTTTTATTAATGTCCTCTGCACTTTTGAAGTCATCATGTGATATCAGTGAGTTCGCATCCAAAGAATTACCTTATGAGAACTACAATTAAGTTAATTTCTAACCACTGGTGCGGTAAGATTGAGATGTACTATAAAGCTTTTCCTCCTCAACATCCTTAAACATATTTGGCCCCTGATTTCGCCTAAGTCAAATTTTAATTCATTATTAGTCTTTAACATCTCTATTATTAGTTCTTTGGGTTGTTTAACAAACAGCATGCCCTCTTTTGGCAAGGGCTGACAACTCCTAAAAGTAGTGAGTGTGTCATGTTCCAGGCTCAATGTAAATACTTTCTGTGGGTTATCTAATTTAAAGACACAAAAAGCTCATATTCTTATGATCACCATTTTATGGATAAAGACACTGAGACCCCCAAAAGGTAAACAGTTTCCCAATATTATTCACTGGCAAGTGATATAGTTGGAATTTAAATTTAGACAGGCTTCACTTCAGAGGATATAACCTTAACCATCACACATCTAGCCATGAAAAGGTAATGCTATGTAAAGCTACATAGCTCAGCTCCATCTGCTCTCTGCTTTTGACAGGGTGTGATAGTGACTACACACACACATGTTTTGCTCTTATTTAACAATAATGAGGAAATAGACATAATAGTTCACTATTTTTTAAAGAAATAACAAATATTTCATGTGTCACATATATACATATATAAGTATACATACACACACATGAAATGTTTCCATATTAGAAACATTCCTTCAAGCTTCAAAGGAAATTTTTTCAACACTATTTAGATCTAAAAATATATATTTTTTAAGTTTATGCACTTAGAAAAATTTTGCAACTGGAAGCTTTGTCTTACAACGTGGTGGAAAAGAATTATTAACTCTAACTACCATGATTGAAGGTTTTATGACCATGATGCAAGTAACCACCAGATATGCTTTTACTGTATTATCTGCATATTCCTTCTAGGTCTCATTTGATTTTGTAATCAACTATTGGGAGGAATAGCTTCTTCTAAAGTATTTTCTTTTCACAGGACATGGTGAGATACTATTTTTTCCTCTCTATGTCAAAATGATTAAAGATAAATTTAACAAGGCAAATTGAGCCTCATGACTTTGCTTGTGCCAAAGCAGATAGTGCTGCTCTTGGGATGTTGTAAAAGAAACAGATGGTATTTTGTCCTGATTCCACCCTGTCCCCACATATCCAGATTTTGAGAACTCAAGGGATACCAGTTTCCTGTACTACAAAGAATGAAGCATTATCTGAATATTAAGAAAATAACTATTCTAATTATAAAAATTCTACTATAGATTTATGCTAAGGTCTTTCCATAGATTCTGAAATCGTTCTGTATTCTCTTAAGTTCAATATAAGAAATTCCCAACCGTGTAGATATACGACCTTTCATGTGAACTTGCTTTTTTTGTCCTTGAGAATTCAGCTTATAGCTGGAAACTAAATGTATTTTCTTCTGTTTTCAAATGATAAAGTCATTTACTCTTTGTAATTACAAAGCATGTTTAATCTTTGTAATTACATTTTTAGGTAACTCTCAAATAGTCACTAAAAGTTAGATATTTGTTTAAAGAGACAGGGTCTTGCTATTTTTCTCAGACTGGACTTGAACCGCTAGGCTCAAGATATCGTCCCACCTGTACCTCCTGAGAGGCTAGGATTACAGGTGTGCACCATGACCAGCTAAAGTTAGAATTTTATCCATCCTTATAATGAGTAGTGCTCTCTCCAGTTGTCTTTCCTCTTCGGAACAGCAGATAACCTCTACTCTTCTAAGTCTACATCTAAAGTCCAGTAGAAATCCACTACTAAAGATAATACAGCTGGCTTCTTCTAGATCAACACAAACATTAAGACAGGAACTGAAAATTCTAGGATGATCTGAGACCGAGAAATAACTTTTTCGGTATCCTAATGAAATATAATCTTTGCATTTTCTAGCTTAGAAAAGTTATGAATTTGGGGTAGTTTCAGAAGATCACAGTGCCAATTAGTAAAGAAGTTTCTTTGATTTCTATTTCAGTACTCTTGATTACATGATACACAAAATCTGTTTTGTTTCTAATTATACTACTTGGGTGTATGGAATGCACATGCCCTCTGAATTATCTTTGAGAAAATATTTACTTACTAGTTTGATTCCTAAACAAAATTTTGGAAGAAAGATCTAAACTCTTTAAAAAAATGAAAAAATGATTTC